GGACTGCGAGTTTCGGTTTATGTTTTGCCAGGGACAGCAAGGCAATTGAGGGTTATGCCGATGCGGATTGGGCAGTGGATCGAGACAACCGCCGTTCGACAACTGGATATGCCTTTATCCTTGGCGGTGGAGCCGTCAGCTGGAAGAGTCGGTTGCAACCGACTGTAGCAGCATCGACTGTGGAGGCCGAGTATATGGCGGCGTCCCTAGCTACTCGCGAAGCGCTCTGGCTGAGGAAACTTCTGCCCGAGTTTGGGTGTGAGATCGACGTGATGCGTATCTGGGGTGACAACCAGGGAGCATTAAGTTTGATAAAGAATCCGATTGTTTCGGAACGTGCGAAGCACATCGATGTGATTCATCATTTTGTGCGTGAGAGGGTATCTATGGGGCAGGTGAAGTTTGAGTACTGTCCCACTACCAGCATGGTAGCGGATATCCTCACGAAGCCGTTACCGGAAGGGAAGTTCGTGCAGTTTCGAGAAGGGCTGGGTGTTCGTTGAGTTGGATTCGCCCGAGTGTTCCGTCCGAGGGGGAGTGTTGACTTCCGGCCAGAACACTAACGGCTGTACGACAGATAAGATGGAATGTTTGGTATAAAGGAGATGATGTTCTGACTGAAAGCTTGTTCTGTGATACCTGTAACGGTTGAGGTTGGCTTTACCCACACAGTTCCACTCGCCTATATCTTAACAAACCGCGCCTAAATCACGCAAATCGAAATCCTTCGCCAGTTCTTTCTTTGACTGGGCTATTAGATCCTTAGAGTCACTCCCAATCAACAGATCGTCAACATGGATAAGCAACTCAACAACGTCAGTGCCTTGACACTTGATAAACAAGCCGGGGTCCGCGTCTGAGACCGTGTAGCCCATTTCCCGTAGCTTATTTACCAATTTAACATACCAAGCCCGGCTGGCTTGCCGTAAGCCGTACAACGCCTTCAACAACCGACACTTTAGACCACGCTCGCCGGTCACAAAACCTTCAGGCTGATCAACGTAAACTACCTCATCCAAATCGCCATGCAAAAATGCTGTGCGGACGTCGAGATGGTGGACCTCAATTCCTTTGGCTGCAGCTTTGGAGAGAAAGGCGCGTACGGTAGCATGATTGCTTGTTGGAGCAAAAACTTCATCATAGTCCACGCCCTCTACTTGCATATATCCTTTTGCAACAAAACGCGCTTTATAACGTTCTACCTCACCATCGGCGCCACTCTTTACTTTATAGACCCAACGGCCTGGTACAACGTTGGCGTCCGGGGGCGGGTGCTCTAAACGCCAAGTGCCTAGCCGGTGCAGCGATGCGATTTCCTCCTCCATTGCCTCCCACCACATATCGGCCTGCGG